ATATCCCACAACCATAAACACGAGGAGCATCATGAAGGCAATGTCAGTCACGGGCACGACCATGACCATCATCATTCTGATCAGAAATCTGTAAAAAGCGCAAACAAGGAGCATCGCCACATTGATCAGCGGATTCAGACAAAACGGATACTAAGTTGCAAGTCTCTCGTTTGTTAGAAGATGCAGGAGTAAAGGATTTGACTTTGCAGGTGGAATCTGTTAAGTCATAGCAATTAAAATAGTCTTGTGAGTTGTCACTGAACACACAAACATATGATACTTTTTTCAATGCTTTTAGATAATCTGTTGATTCAAGTTTTCCGAGTTTTCATTAAAGATATATATGGGAATATGGCTGTGCATACATATATGAACGACATCCTAAACCGGAAACGTAAGGTTTTAATTTCAAAACTCAAAAAAAATCACTACAAATGCATCTGTTTTGCAGTTATATTCATATTCAAAAAATAAAATCATAGCAGGGATTCCGACGCATAAACAGCTTCACTCTCTCGGATCAGGTAATTGCTTGTTATCCTTTTTGTTCTGGCAGTTTGTTGTTATTGAAATCTCGAGTTGTCGGAATGAAAATAACTGTTAGGAGTGGTGTAGAGAGATGATGGTAGAGTAGATTTCTGAAGTAGACTGCTCTCACCAAATTGAACACCACAGCTTGTAGACATATCTTGTGGCAAGCTAGTGTTACTGACCATATAACTGTAAGGGTCCTGAAAATCAGAACATAACTGATATGGATGTTGAGAGTTGCTGGTGGTACTATCACTCATAAACGTGTTCTGATCATCATAACCATAAAGCTCATGCTGCATCAACTGATTTAACTCATAGTGATCTTGTGTGTTTAAGATGCAAGGATGTTGAAAGTTGTTACTGTTGATGTTACTCAAACACATGTTCTGATCATAACCATAAAGGTCCTCCTTCTGCATCAACTGATTCGTCAAGCCAGATACTTGTGCCGTTGGTAACGCTGAGTAATCCTGTGTGTTTGAAACACAAAGATGTTGAAAGTTGTTGTTTTGATCAAAACCATTAAGCTCTTGATCCATCAAGTGATTCTTCAACCCCGATTCGTGTACTGCAGAGTAATTGGTGAATTGAGTGGACGCAGAGTGGTGAAAGTTTGATGCTGCAGAGAGAGGTATTTGAGAGAGAGTAGCATCTCCATGGTTATACATAAATAGCGAGAACTGGCTAGGGTTTAAGGATTGAGTCTCTGGATGTTCTTGAAGATTCAGAGACATTGGAGGAGTTAAACCCTGATGATCCAGTTTTGTCTCCTGTTTCTGATGATCCAAGTTTGTCTCTTTCTGTTTCTGTGCTTCAACAAAACGAAGCCTATCTTGTAGTGTAGAGTAAGCAAGTTCTAAAGACTGAACCAGTTGGGAGATTTGGTCGGGAGAGTAATGGTCACAGATTGGATACTTTAAGATTGAGGCTTTTCTTACGTCTCTTGGCTTCGTCTAATTGAATATACTTCAAAGCCATGTCTTTGACTTTCTCTCTGTCTTGAGGCCATGTTTTGAGCTCTCCGTCTGGACCGTAATGAATGACGCAGACTTCGATATCACAGAGAGTGGAAAGCTCGAAAGCTTTCTTGAAAAGGGTCTCACACCTTTTGATCAAACCTGTTGCAGAGAGT